CTCGCCCCCTCGCCCCCTCGCCCCTCGTTTGCTCCTACCCCACTGTGAGGGATGCAGGTGTGCTTCTGGGCTGGTCTTCTTTGTCTTGCAGAACTCAGAGGTTCCCTCCTCCCCCTGACCAGCAAACAAGAGCAAGAGTGTGAGATTTATGGCAGTTACTGTTGATTCTTGAGCAGCAAACCCAAGGCACCATCCCATAAATCCCAGGCTACAGGACGGCTTTATGGGGAAGCCCTGTTTTTAGAAAGGGGCGTGGCTGGTCCCTCCGGGCAAAGCTCAGAGCTCTGCCAAGTGCCTGCCTCCTTCTAGGAGAACCATGACCTAGCGAGGGTACCGGGCTGATTCCAGGCCAGAGACATGGCCTCTCCTGTCCCCCACTCCGCTCGGCATCCTCTACTCTCCACCTTCCTGCCCTCTCCCCAGCTGTAACGACTCCCCGCCTCACCACAGCAAGATGTTCTAGAAGCCTGGACAGATAGATGGTCATCATTTTTTTTTCTTTAAATAATTATTTTTATTTAACTTTATTTATTTTAACTTGACCAGAGAGGGATAGAGTGAGAGAGAGAGAGAGAGAGAGAAGAAAAGTGAGAAAGTAAGTCTCCAGGTCCAGGACTTGAACTGTGGTTGGCCATGTGAGTCCAACACCCTTAACCACCACACCACCTGCTGGCCCCATGATCATCTCTTTTGAACTTCAGGTGCTTTCCGCTACAGCCCCATGTGTGGTTCACTGGAGAGGCTTTTTAAAATGCATTTTTCAGTCCAGCAGGTGGCGTGGTGGTTAAGGTACTGAATCCCATATAGCCAACTTTGCGGTTCAAGACCCAGACCCAGTGGCTTGAGAATCACGCTGGGCTGGTGTGCATGCATGATCAAAACCCCAAGAGGAGAATGGAGGAGAAGGGACTGCAGCATGGCCATCCCCCACACTCTCCCTCTGTCTCTCTGTCTCTCTGTCTCTCTGTCTCTCTCTCTCTTTGGTGAGCACATGAACCCTGTAGTATAAGACTAAATTTTATTTTTAATTAAAAAAAAAATCCATTTTCCGGGCCATCATACTCGGCCTCAGTTCCAGAACCTGAGGGTGGGCCGCAGGAGTGTGAGGTTCTCGTTGTGCTCTGGGATTCTGATGTTCTCTGTACAGTGCAGACACATCTCTGCTCCCGTTATGCTGTACAGCATGTGTCACCAGGGAGGGCATGTCTGGGTCCTCATGTCACTGGGACCCGTCGGGCCAACATCACGAAGCCTCCTCTCTGAGTCCCCTTCGACTCATGCTCACACAGGCACGTGAGGCAGGGTGACTGCCCTCTGGGAGCACCCTGTCTGTAAGAGTCCAGCCGGCTGCAGGCCTGCGACCCCACACAGAGCCGGAAGAGGGCTGAGGCTGGCTGGCAGCAGTGAGTTTAGGATGCAGTCAGGCAGGATCAAGGCTGGCAGGCTCTGCCAAGGAGGCTGGAAGAGGGACAGCAGGTGGCGTCATGGTTACATCACTGGACTCCTGTGTGGTTAACTGTGGTTTGAGTCCCAGACCCGGCAGCTTAAAAGTCATGCCAAGTGTGTGTGCGTGCATACCCAAAATCTCGAGAGAAGAACGGAAAAGGGATTGCAGTGTGGTCATCCCCCTCCGGGGGTGATTTCTCACTTTCTGACTCTGTCTCTCTGGAGAGCACATGCACCCTATAGCAAAAATCTCTCTCAAAAAAAAAAAAAAAAAAAAAAAGGAGGTTGGAAGAAAGGAGTTCTCAGCTCCTTAGCAGCTTCTGGGCTCCTTGAAAATGGGACCAGGTGGGGGCTGGCATGTGGCATGGTGGTTAAGGGCTCTGGACTCCCATATGGCTGACCGTGGTTCAAGTCCTGGACCTGGACCTGCTTTCTCCCTCTCCCTCTCACTCTGTCCCTCTCTGGTCAAATTGAAAATAAATAAATAAATAAACAAATAAAGTTAAATAAAAATAATTCTTAGAAAGAAAGAAAATGGGCCCACGCTTGCTTACCCATGTAAGCCTGAGCCCAGCACGTGCCAGCGTGTCGTACGTCCTCAGTCCATGTTTGCCGGGCTGAGCGAGACTTCAGGGCCCACCCACAGAGATAGACCTGGCTGGCAGCGCGGACCCAAGGCCTCTCCTCTGAGGCAGCAGCCTGGTGAAGGAGGGCCTGGCCATATGCAGGCTCTGGCCTGGGGTTGCTGGGGAAGCCACAACTTAGCTGCATTAGGGGGTGCCTGGGAGCATGCAGTGCCAGGGAGAGCACCCTTTCTAGGCTGGCTGAGGACAGAAGGGTGTGATCATTAAGCAAAGCAAACATGTTACCGACCCATAATCCCTTAAACCAGGAGGATTCAGGAGGGGACTGGTTGCCTTGGCAACTGGGTACCGGCCAGCGGCGGGGCTGAGCATCCTCCAGGAGTGTATGCCTGGTGCGTGGCCCCCTCCCATCACGGAGCTAGCCCCTGGTGCCTTCCTGGCAGGCCCAGTGGGGGCCTTCGTGAGGCCTCTTGGTCCCAGCCCCACCGCAGCCCAGCACAGTGTGGGCAGAGCTGACAAAGGGGCCAGCTGTGCAGGGAGCTTATGAAACCATGAAGGAGAGGCGGGACAGTCTGCTCTTGGTTTTGGGGGCAGGAAGGAGAAGGAACCGTCTAGGAAGGAGCAGTGGCAGTCTGCAGGAGGCCAGCAGGATGGCCGTCATTCCCCAGGGCAAGAGGGAGGAGCTGGGAGCCGCTGAGAGGCTGAAGCTGAGCAGTCAGCCCCCCTCCATGGAGTTCTGGCAGAGGATGCCCTGCCTGCTCTGAGGGCTCTGACATGGAAGGGGCCGGTGGGGTTCAGGCCCCCCACCCCGTTCCCTAGGGCCAGCTGTATTTCCCCTGAGGCCTTCAGCTACTCTCCGACCTCCCAGATTTCAGCTGGAGAGAGAAGGGCCAGGCCGCTCCCAGGCACCCTTCCCCTCCCTCATCCTTCCCTCTTTCCTGCCTCTGGACCTGGGACAAGCCAGCAAGGGGACCACCAGCTGTCAGTGTCAGGCGAGATGGGGTTTGGGCCAGTTTATGTCCCAGGGGTGTAAGCCAAGCCAGTGTTCATCGGTGAGCATCAGTCAGTACGCCTTACTAGGTGTTGACACATTCCAGCTTTTCCAGACATGTTGGCAAGCAGCAGCCAGCCCGGGCACCATCCTGGTTCTGGAACTCTCCAGACCTCCAGCAGCTAAGGGGTTAAAGTCTGGGGTCAGACTGTGGTGCAGCTGTAATGCAGAAGGCAATGCTCTGAGAGTTCTTCCATCAGGGAAAGCTCTGGTATGGGCCTGGAGACCTCCCTGAGTGGGCCAGGGACGCTGGCCGTGACCTGGGCCAGGGGGCGCAGCTGTGAGTGGCTCACTGCCTCAGGACACTGCTGGGGAGCTGCCTGTCTCTCTCACTCATGGAGGGAATGAACTAATTAACTTTATTTTGTAAAAAAGTGTTGGGGCCAGCAGGTGGCATTGTGGTTAAGGTGCTGAATCTCACATAGCCAACTCCACAGTGAGCATCAGTCAGTACGCCTTACTAGGTGTTGACACATTCCAGCTTTTCCAGACATGTTGGCAAGCAGCAGCCAGCCCGGGCACCATCCTGGTTCTGGAACTCTCCAGACCTCCAGCAGCTAAGGGGTTAAAGTCTGGGGTCAGACTGTGGTGCAGCTGTAATGCAGAAGGCAATGCTCTGAGAGTTCTTCCATCAGGGAAAGCTCTGGTATGGGCCTGGAGACCTCCCTGAGTGGGCCAGGGACGCTGGCCGTGACCTGGGCCAGGGGGCGCAGCTGTGAGTGGCTCACTGCCTCAGGACACTGCTGGGGAGCTGCCTGTCTCTCTCACTCATGGAGGGAATGAACTAATTAACTTTATTTTGTAAAAAAGTGTTGGGGCCAGCAGGTGGCATTGTGGTTAAGGTGCTGAATCTCACATAGCCAACTCCACAGTTCGAGTCCCAGACCTGACAGCTTGAAAATCCAGCTGGGCACCTGTGCGTGTGTGCTCAGAATCCAGGGAGGAGAATAGATGGGAGGAGATTGCAGAATGGCCATCCCTGCTGCAGGGGGTGGGGTGGCGTTCTCTGTTTCCTCTCTTTCTGTCTGTCTCTCTCTGGCATGAGTGCATGCACACTGTGGCAAAAATCTAAAAAAAGAAGTGTTCACATCTAGTGGGGGCTGGGGAATTTGGGTTCCTCTTTGCACATCGCCCCCATTACGGTCAGGCTCTCCATGGTAGTCGATCAGGACTGGGGCCGTCTGCCCAGGGGAAGGGAATTGGTGGGTGGGGCCCGGGGCCCTGGGAGGGCAAGGGTGAGGGCCTACTCTCAAGGAGCCCACGCTTTGGTACAGAGGACACAACTGTGGCTCCGGCAGTGCGGAGCCAGGTGGGAAGGCAAGACCCCGAGGCCACCTAGGCAGGGACCTGGACCCGCCTGCTCTTCTCACCTGCTCTCCCACCTCCTGTCCCAGGACCTGCCCAGACCGAAGACCATGAACAAGATGAAGAACTTTAAGCGCCGCTTCTCCCTGTCAGTGCCCCGCACAGAGACCATCGAGGAGTCCTTGGCTGAGTTCACAGAGCAGTTCAACCAGCTCCACAACCAGCGGAACGAGGGTGAGGGCGAGGGCCAGGGCAGCCCCTGGTCCTCCCGGGCCCCCTCCAGGCTCAGCAGGGGTTGGAGGGGCTGCAAGGCAGGCAGGAGCTGATGTGTGTCCCTCTCAGACCTGCAGCTGGGCCCCCTGGGCAGAGACGCCCCCCCAGAGCTCCGCGCCCTGTCCCCCGCAGACAGCGTGGAGGAGCCTGGACAGCCTTCCCCAGATGTGCTCTACCGCCGGCAGAACCAGCGCCGCTTCTCCATGGAGGTGAGGGGCCCCAGGCTCTGCCCAAGGAAAATAGCGGGCCACATCCATAGAGATGCACACAGGAGGGTCGTGGTTCAGACTTCGTGTGTTCAAAGCCCAGCCCAGCCCATACTTCGCCCTGTGATTTTGGACAAGTTGCTTCACCTCTATGAACCACAATCTAAGAACAGCCTCCGTGGTTTATCAATCTAAGAACAGCCTCCTTGGCTTACAGTCATGGTGAGGATTAAATGAGTTCATATTTCCAAGTGCTTAGAACATTCCTGGACATGGCAAGGGCTCGCCTGGTGTCTTTCTAGCCGTGTACATGTGCCCAAGTGTGTGAACAAGCTTTGCTCACCGAGTCAGGGTGTGTGCAAGGGCGGGTGCTGCAGCTCGGAGAGGAGGAACCACCTGAGGCTCAGACAGCCCTGCGTGTCTGCATGTCTTTGAGCAACCCTTCGGGGCAGCTGTGAGTCTGGGTCACAGCCTGTAGGGTGGCCCGGCCGGCCGTGGTTGCTCTGCAGGGAGAGCTAGGCCCAGAGTGAGGGCAAGGGCCCCACAGCCATGGTTCCCCTGGAGCCCACGCTGGGTCCCAGTCTCATTCCCATCACTGCAGGACATCAGCAAGAGGCTGTCCCTGCCCATGGATATTCGGCTGCCCCAGGAGTTCCTGCAGAAGCTCCAGCTGGAGAACCCAGACCTACCCAAGCCGCTCAGCCGCATGTCCCGCCGCGCCTCCCTGGTGAGCCCCACTGGGGTCAGGAGTTGCAAGGGTGGACATCCTCTCCCCAGCATGGATTTAACAGCCCTGGCTTTGCCCATTCGAGAGGATTCCTGGGATTCTGGCGCCACCTGTTGGCCTCAGTGGCTTCAACTAGTTCATCCTCTAGATAACATTCCCTACTCGGGTCCCTGCTGTGCTGGAGCTAAGCCTCTTCTGGGTCCTGAACCCCCGTTAAGATCAAAGGACCCGCTGCCATGCACTTCCCAGTCCTAGCTGCCAGTCAGATTTGCTTGGGAGCATTTAATAAAGCACGGACACTGGGTCCACTCCAGACACTGCAGACTTGGCCTCTGTGTGTGCATGCATGCATGCGTGAGTGTGTGCATGCCTGCGTGCATGCATGTGTGTTGGGGGGCAGAGGGAAGGGCAGGAGTCTGTCTCCCTAAAGTTTGGGTGCACCTGAGCTAGAAGTGCACCAATAAAGACTGTTGCGGAGGTGGGTTCTGAACTGGACAGTGGAGAACAAGACACAGGGCCCATCTGAGTAAGCCGCAGAGGACACCCAGCCGAGGGTGCCAGCCAAGGTGCTGCAGCTCTGGGACCCACCCTCAGCTGTGCCAGGAGGAAGAGATGGAGACGTTCACTTCTAAGGGCTCCTTCCTAGGGCAGGCTGATAAAGGGAAGGAGAAGGATTTGCAGAGGAAGGTGGGAGGCTGGCCTCGCTCCCCCTCCACAACGAAGGTCCCGTCCCCTTCCCTCCTGTGGGCTGGATGTATGTGGGGGCTGCTGGGACCGTTGTGCTCACAGCCCTGTGTCTCTCCACAGTCAGACATCGGCTTTGGGAAGCTGGAAACGTACGTGAAACTGGACAAACTGGGAGAGGTAAGAGCCGGGTGTGGTCTTCTCAAGGCCCCCAGGCAGGATGGGCCCAGGAGGGTCAGGACCTTCCCTGACCTGCCCCTCTTGTGGTCCCTGCCCATGGGGGCTTGATTTTGGCTCTGCAGCCTGGCTTAGTCTTTAGGCCTCGATTCTGAGTGAGGGCGTGACAACAGAGAGGCCTGTGGGCTCTGGGAAGAATCTAGTCTTTTTTACCTGCAATTCCTTCTGGCCTGATTCAAATCGCAGCTTTGCCATTTACCAGCTCTGTGACTTTGAGCTAGTCACGTGACCCCTCTCCGTGCCTCAGTGCCCTTCCTTGGGTCAATGGAGGTGGAGCTGGTTCTGCCTCCGAGGGTGGTGGTGGGGTGGTTCAGGTTGCCCCAGTCAGATACAGACGGCCCTGGACAGTGCCCAGCATGGAGCATGTGCTGTCCAAGCCTCATCTGTTCTCCTGTGTCAGTCTTTGTGTTGGAGGCCCGGGACAGGGAGGCTTACAGAACATGTCAGACGTGGCCTTCTCCCTCCAGGAACCCAGAGAGGAGGCCTGTACATAAACATTACTGTAACATAGAGAAGAACACTGCTGTTAGAGGTAGTGCTACTGAACATGCATGAGAAGGGTCCTGGGTTCGAGCCCCAGCACCCCTCTGAGCACTTTGAGTGCACAGGTGTGCCTGTGAGCGGGGCCAGTTGAGGCGAGATGGATCGTGTGGTTAGGGGTGCCTCTTTCTCTCTCGTTGAGGAAATAAACTGAAAAAAAAAAAATCTGGCAGCCCAGCAGGTGGAATGGAGGTTAAGGCACTGGATCCTATGTGACCGGCTGCATGGCTTGAGTCCTGGACCTGGTGGCTTGAAAATCACTCTGGGCGCTTATGCATGCATGCCCAAAACCCCGACAGGAAAAGGGATTACAGCGTGGCCATTGCCCCAGGGAGGGGGAGTGATTTCTCAGTTTCCTTCTCTATTTCACTCTCTAGCAAGTTGCAGGCACCCTATATAGCAAAAAAACAACAACAAAAAACAAACCAAACAGCCGGCATTAGGCATTAGAGTAGGGGGCAGCTGGCATCCTGAGGTGGAGGGGACCAGTTCACCCTGACTGGGGAGGGGTCGAGTTGTTCCACATCACAGGGGAATGGCTTGGAGGACACTAGAACTTCAGGGAAGGGAGAAGCTGGGGGGCGGGCACTCAGCAGGGTGCCACTGCGTGAAAGAGCAGAGGCTCACAGGGGCGGGCTCTGGGCAGGGGAGCAGGACCGCATGCTGGGCTGACAGGCTGGTCCCCCCCAGGGCACCTATGCCACAGTCTTCAAGGGGCGCAGCAAGCTGACAGAGAACCTCGTGGCCCTGAAGGAGATCCGGCTGGAGCATGAGGAGGGGGCGCCCTGCACGGCCATCCGCGAGGGTACCAGGTCCCAGGGCCCTGGGGGAGAGGTTCATTGGCCTGGGTCCTGGTGGGAGCCTGGCGTGGAAGGTCATTGCTGGAATGGGCACTCGGGCTGACCCCAGGGAGCAAGGGTCAGAAGGAACCCAGGTGGCCTGTCCCCGCAGTGTCTCTCCTGAAGAACCTGAAGCACGCCAACATCGTGACGCTGCACGACCTCATCCACACCGACCGGTCCCTCACGCTGGTCTTTGAGTACCTGGTGGGTTGGGCCTCTCCCCACTGTGGTGGGGGTGGTGGGTGAGAGGAGGCGTGCAGGGGACTGGGAGAGGTGGTCCTGGAATCTGGGGCACTTCCTGTCCTCAGCCTGAGTCTGGGCTTCTAGCTGGGGCAGCAGGGGGCACTGAGCCAGCCTCTGTTCCAGGACAGCGACCTGAAGCAGTACCTGGACCACTGCGGCAGCCTCATGAGCATGCACAACGTCAAGGTGAGGGCCTCCTACAGGGACCCCACCCACCTCGGCTCCCCCTTGTCCTAGAGCCCAGCATGGGAACAGCTCTCACCACTGAGGCTGCTCAGACCTTCCAACGTAGAAAGGAGGCAAAGGGTGGGGCTCCGGAGCTGGCTGAGCACCCCCTCTGCCACCCTTTAGCTGCTGGTACAGAATCCCCCTGCGCGTCAGTTTCCCATCCATCAGACACGAGCACAAGCTACCAGCCAGAAAAGAGGGCTTCCGGAAGCTCGGAGGCAGGCATGGCCCTGTCTGGTGTTTGCTAAGGAATCAACGGCAGACGTCCTTATGCGGAGGGCTTCCTGGCCCACCGTGCCTCCCCTCACAGCTCCCCGACTGGAGAACTCTGCCTTGTCCCCATGTCCTCCCCCTAGATGGGGCTCCCTGGTGTGGACGGGTCCTAGGATGGAGCTGCAGAACCAGGGAACGGCTGCCACACTGGGCCTCTTCTATAGGGGTCCCTGGGGAAATGGCCAGGCTAAGATCGACTTGTGTGTGTGTGTGTGTGTGTGTGTGTGTGTGTGTGTGTGTGTGTGGTGCAGTGTAGGGGCAAGAGAGCCAGGTAATGTCTCCAGTGGCTTGAGCTAACCTCCCGAGCCCTGTCCTGGGACAGAGGTGCAGGGTCCCAGTGAGGGGACCCAGTCCCACTTTCCACCCCGCTTTTCTTCCTTTCCTAGATTTTCATGTTCCAGCTGCTCCGGGGCCTCGCCTACTGCCACCGTCGCAAGATCCTGCACCGGGACTTGAAGCCCCAGAACCTCCTCATCAACGAGAGGGGGGAGCTGAAGCTGGCTGACTTCGGTGAGGCAAAGTCTGGGATGCATTCTCCAAGGGCACAGGGGTGGCTGGGGGAGGGCAGAGTTTGTGATGTGTCTGTCCCCAGGACTGGCCCGGGCCAAGTCAGTGCCCACGAAGACCTACTCCAATGAGGTGGTGACCCTGTGGTACAGGCCCCCCGATGTGCTGCTGGGGTCCACAGAGTACTCCACCCCCATTGACATGTGGTGAGTGGCCACAGGGGGGACCCAGGGGAGGGGGGGTGCCTGGCCATACCTCCAGGCTCTCTTTTGTTGCCCCGAAGGCCTCTGGGAAAGAACCACTAACCTTCTTTGACTAAAAGCTGTTGGCGTCTGGCTAAACGGGATGTTAAAAATTAAGTCTGTGGACCAGCAGGTGGCATCTTGGTTACGTCACAGGACTCTAGTGTGATCTACCATAGTTTGAGGCCCAGACCCAGTGGCTTAAACTCACGCTGGGCATATATGTATGCGTGCCCAAGATCCTGAGAGGAGAATGGAGAAGGGATTGCAGCGTGGCCATCCCCCCGGGGGGTGATTTCTCCCTCTCTCTCTGGCAAGTGCACATTCTCTGTAACAAAAATCTCATTAAAAAAAAAAAAAAGTCTGAAATAGACTGGGATTCCCAGCTTAAACAGCCTCTTCAAGGCAGTGCATCTGAAGTATCCCCAGGGGGCCTGTGGGGAGTTACTAGAACCTGCAGGAGGGCCCACAGGAAATACAATGAATCTTCCCTAAGCATCAGTTCTAGTGAAAAGTTTGAAGGGATACATTATTTTTATGTTAACACTCACACATGTATGAATGGGTGTAAAAGGAAAAGTTCACCCAGATTTAAAGCTAAAACAGGTTCAGTGAGTGGCCACTGTGCCTGTCCCAGGGCTCCCTGGGGATGGACTACACGCTCTCTTCCACAGGGACGCACAGGTGAAAGAGTTTGGGACAACACTGCTTAACGGCCTGCCATGTGGGCGCTGGCTCAGAGTGGAAGGGAGAGGTCTCAGCTTCATAGGGCCAGGGGAGTCCCTAGAGAGGGTCTGTAGTGTGGGGGCTGGGCTGTCCTAGGAGCCTCCACTGCCTTGGGCCACCGCTGTCCCTGAGAGCCATGACCTCTGGGAGCCATCTGCAGCAGGGCGTCCAGGTACCCTGGTGGAGCAGCCCTAGGCAGGGTGGCCGTCCCTTCCTGATGCCGCCCCTGCCCCTTGCTCCCCACAGGGGCGTGGGCTGCATCCACTACGAGATGGCCACAGGGAGGCCCCTCTTCCCGGGCTCCACAGTCAAAGAGGAGCTGCACCTCATCTTCCGCCTCCTCGGTCAGTCTCTTGCCGCTCCCTCCTCTCACCACCAGGGGGCGCCGGAACTCCGTCCAGTTCCAGCACTTCAAGGGACTGGGAAGCTTTCTCCGGGTTTCATCAGGGCGGGGACCCTTGCAGCCTTAGGCATTCCTTGCTCCCACCTCTGACATTGCACCCCCTCTTGCCTCCCCAGGCACCCCTACAGAAGACACGTGGCCTGGAGTGTTGGCCCTCCCTGAGTTTAGAGCTTACAACTTCCCCCGCTACCTGCCGCAGCCGCTCATCAGCCACGCTCCCAGGTAGCCCTGGCTCCCGCAGCACCCTCTGAGGCGTCCCTCCTGGGGGTCCCCTCACCCCAACCCAACCCCCTCAGAGCCTGTGTTAGCATCTCTTTCTTGCAGGTTGGATACCGACGGCATCAGCCTCCTAACCAGCCTCCTCCTAGTGAGTGTCCTCCCAACTGGGCCCAGGGCCAGGCAACCAAAGACTCCGGGCCGGGCGTTGGGTGCCCCACTTCCTGTGCTCACAAGTCCTTGAAACGGCTCCCTTGAACCCCCACCCAGGGATGCGCTGGCTCCCATACACAGCCCTGGGAGTCTGCGCTTTCAATGGCGCCAACCCGTGCAGCTCCTCCTCCTAGCTGGGTAGCTTTGCACATGTTATAGAGAGCTGCCTGTTTCATAAGACAGTTGTGAGGATACACTGGCCATGGGCTACAGTGGGGCCTGTGGGGAAGTCAGGGCACAGGAAGGGTGGTTGTGGTATCAGTGTTAGAGCCATAGGGGGCTATAGCTACTTCCGCATCAGCATTGCCATCCCGAGAGGTCACCTGCTGAGTCTGGTCTCTGGTTTCCTCCTGTGGCTGCAGACCAGACCTGGGAGTATGGCCCTGAGACTGCAGGGGTTGGAGGTGGAGCTTGACCAGGAGTATCTCAGGCTCCTCCCACCTCCACGATTCAACTTAGCTTAGGAGTTGTGCTACCAAGAGGTGTCCCTGAGGCCTCCCCAGCCAGGGCCCAGTAGCCCACCCTGTGTCTTTCAGTATGAATCCAAGAGTCGAATATCTGCAGAAGCTGCCCTGAGTCACCCCTACTTCCGGTCTCTGGGAGAGCGCGTGCACCAGCTTGAAGACAGTGAGTTGAGGGGTGTACCCCAGAACCCAGGAATGGGGGTGGCAGATGTGGGCTGGAGAGTGGGAACAAAGAGGCTAGGAGGCCTGGGTTGTGCAGGGTGGAGCAGCCTGGGCACGCAGTCTCCCCTCCTCGGGTTCTCATTTGGAGCCAAGGGTACACGTGAACCTCCTGGGCCAATCTTAATGGAAGAGCTTGCACTGTGGGCTCACAGGGAGCGAGGTGGGGGGCCCCAGGACCAGGGCCTGCTCTACCCAGCCTGCCTCCCTCTCCTCACACCCCAGCTGCCTCCATCTTCTCCCTGAAGGAGATCCAGCTGCAGAAGGACCCAGGTTACCGCAGCCTGGGCTTCCACCAGACAGGTAGGGCTCACGCCTCCCCGCCCCTCCCCGTCGCAGGAAGCCCCATAGGGACTCCCTCTGGAGGAATGGGGATGGGCTCCTGCTGGGGTAGTCAGTGCAGTCTTCCCACACTGGGCTTCTTCCAGGACAGCAGGGAAGAGGCTGACCTCTCCCACCCAGACCCTCCTCCTCCACCCCACCCCAGACAGAACGTGCATCTGACGGGGTCCTGGCAAAAGCGCACGCCGTCTCTGGGGCTGCCTCCCTGCAAACCCCGCGCTCCCTAACCGCGCTCCAGCCTAGAGAACTGTTTTGTTGGCCTTGAATGTGGCGATGCTCTCCACCCACCATCTCTTCTGATCCCTAGAACACCTCGTGGAGTTGATTCTTCACATTCCCCAGTTCAGTCAGCAGAACTGAGGTTAGGAGAGGTTAGGTCACAGTGTCACACAGCTCATCAGAACAGGGATGGGATTTGGCCCCAGCACAGACTAGGTGCCGAGCGCATGCTCACAGCCCTGGAGATATAGCCGTCCCCCCCAGCCCCCAGTCCTGGGCACTCTCCAGCTCAGCCTCCTCCCTGCAATCCCCTCTCCCTTTCATTCTCCAGGACGAGGGAAGAACCGGCGGCAGAGCATCTTCTGATGTGTGCCCTCTGCCATGGCGGGAGGAACAAGAGGTCACGTCGAGCACCAGTTTGGGTAGGATGGGGCCGGTCCCCCTTGGAGGACTGAGCACTGAGGGCCAATGGCCAGCCCGGAAGACTGTGTAGCAGCCCTGCCAGCCCCAGCTGTTTGCTGTCTCTGATCCACATGCCTCCCGGTGGCCTTCACCCAGAGAGTGACCCTTCCGTCACCTGCCTAGCTGGGAACAAGCTACCTCCCTGAGGGGGCAGGGAGGGACTTCAGACCTTCTTCTGGCAGCTCAGGACCTGCGTGGTAGAGAGTCCAGGCACCAGGCTGAGGGTGTGCCCTGCACTCGCTGCACCATGCTGTCCTGGGGCCAGCCTGCCTTGCCAGCGTGGCAGACCCCTCTGACCCCACAGAGCCCATGTGTTTCGCATCCTTCCCATTAGAGCAAGAAGGGACATGGCACCTTGTCTGGGGCCCTGGAACCCTGGGGGGCCAGCATCCCCAGAACAGCAGGAGGAGGAGTGGCCCCACGTCCTCTTCTCATCACCCTGCCCTCACTCCCCTCCTTGCCAAGGGCCCCTGTACCCTCGGCTTGAACCCAAGCTGAGCGATACTGGTGGTCACCGGATGCCCAGCTGCACCCAGGAGTGGCTGCCACCGCCAGCTGTACCACTGTTCCCCAGCTGTCCTCACCCGTCTTCCCCGTCTGAATGGAGGTGCCTTAGGTCAGCAGGTGGAGGCATGCTCACTGCCCTTGGAGCTCAGACCCAGGCTCCTACCTGTCTACCCCTACCCGGAGCTGCTCCTGCTAATCTTAACTTATCCCTAAGCACTGATAAGCCAGTCCTGGGTCAGCATCCTGAGGACAGCACCCAGATACACAGGGTCACCCTGACAATGGGGCCAGGCTGGCCTCCCTCACCCCTCCTTCCCAGCCCTGGGGTCCTGTCCACTAGATCCCTGTACCAGTCTCCAGGCCTCCTGGGGTGGTCACAGAGGGAGGTAGAGGAAGGAGGTGTCCATGCAGGCTTTGATCTTCAGAGTCCCATCGCTGGGGACAGGGAGCCCCAGAGGCTGCAGAAGGTACAGGCCAAGGGGAGGTCAGGGCCTGCCTTCCCACACGAGCCCCTGCCCGCCTGAGGAGCGGCCGGAGAGCCTCGGGCTCCCCTCCACCCCCACTGCTCCCACTGTACTGTGAAGGTCCTGTGACGCCGAGAAGACAGATAATATATTTAATTCACGGACAGCCCGACGACGCAGTTTAGTGCCGTGAAGCTGACTCTGATCGCTGCCAGAGAACCGGAGGCCTCGTCAGGCCCAGAACCTGGGGCCTGCAGGGGTGTACGTGTGTAAAACGAAGCACAAGTATGCTTGGGTGTGACTCGCCACCCCCGGGCTCCTGTCTCCTCGAGGCCACTGTGTTCAGGGCCTGAGGTCAGTTCTGGACGAGGGGCACAGTCATGGTTGTGTGTGACCCAGGTTGGTGCTTGGGGGGATGGGGCTAGCCAGGAGAGCAAGGAGTGGGTCCTGGGGAGTCTGCTACACCACCCCCTGCGCTTCCAACACCACAGTTTCCTGATTCATGGGGAGGGGGAGTTCCAGAGAGCATTGACGTAATGGGGGCCGAGACCAGGGTGGCAGAATGCGGGTGCAGGCCTCTCTGATTCGGACCGGTGATTGCCACAGGCCTCGAGGCTGCCTCTCACCGCTGCCCAGGCCGCCTCTTCCCTTGGGTCTGGACATGCGTCGGGTGCACACAGCTCCAGCGTGCTCAGATCCTTCCTGTGCTCCAGTTCGGTGTCCACTTTTGCCCTCCCCAAGACCATCCTGAGGGGCTCAGGCCCCAAACGTGCTCGTGGCTGTGCCCGTTGGTGGTCTCGGTCTGGCTGTAGGTGCCGTGCAGTCTGCTGGCACGCTTGACAGGGGCTGCTTTCTAGAAAAGGATATGAGTGCTCCCAGGTGGGTGATGTCCCCTTGCCGGGCCAGGGAAGTCAGGTGGGGCAGGGCTTGATTCTCAGAGCAGCCTGACCCAGGCGGTAACTCAGACAGTCCTTGATGGGAGGGGACGGGGGCGGGGGAGGGGGGCTGGAGGCCTTTTAAGCTGTGGGAAGAGTCTAGAGCCTGTGTTATTAAGTTCCTGCTGTGTGCCCAAGGGTGCCTCATTTAATCCTGACAACAACCCTGACTCTTGTCACTTTGCAGATGAGGACAACAGGGCTTCCAGCAGTCGAGTGGCTTGTGGGTCACATAGCAAACTACCAGGAGGAAAAAGGGTGGGGAAGAGGGGAGGTGTGGGCACTGCTGAGCCCCAGGAGGCTTTGCCAGAGGACCTTGTGAGGCTACCCTTGTGTGTCAGGCATGGTGGCCCGCCAGCACCCAGGGGCTCCTGCATCCTTAAGAACCTTCCTGGGGGCGGCCGTTCTCGCTGCTGCGCTGGGGTCCTGTTCTGGGGGGTGGCTGTCCACCCTGCTACAGTGGAGTCCTGTCCTGGGGGCGGCCATTCTCGCTGCTGCAGTGGGGTCCTGTCCTGGGGGGGGGTCCTGTTGAAGTTTCTGAAGTCTCTGCAGAGGCACCAGGCACTGTGAGTCTATGCAGCTCAGCTGGATAGGTCACCTCAGCTCTGAGAATGCTCAAGGGCTTCCGATGGAAAAGTCTGGCCCCAGAGAAGGAAGCTGGATGCTGGAGTGAGGAGGCCTGCGTGGCTGGTTATGGGCTGCGAGTCTGCCGTGGCTCCCCAGTAGCCAGGCTGGGCCTGTGCCCTATGCCCTGGGCACCCTGGGTGTCCCTGCAGTCATCTCCTTCTGCCCCGTGGCTTTATAGGCCAGCGCCTGCCCCACTACTGGAGTCCGTGGCCAAGCGCCATTTACTGAGCGCCCCCTGCTGCCCCAGCTCACTGCTGCTCTGCTCCTATGAGGGTCAGGATGCCCTGGCCTGGATGACCTCTCCTTACGGGTGATCACTGGCAGGGGCATCCCTGCAGCACCAACAAAAGGTCCTGGTGATGGCCGTGTTGTGCTGGTGGAAGCAATGGGGCACTGTTGCACAGGGCTGGGGCCACATGTGAGGCCCGAGCTGAGATCCCAGACCAAGCTGAACAGGCAGGTGCACGCGCCTATGTCCTGGCCAACTGGGAAACTGGGAGCCGGGGCAGAGGGCCACCGCAGGGAGCCTAATTCAAAACAAAAAGCTTCCACACTCCCTCCTCCCTCTCTCTCCTGAAAAGAAAAAAAAGGGGGGGGGCGTCCTATTTGATGACCGCCACAGCTCCTATCCTGTGGTACTTGGGGCTGGCTCACCCCTGCCCAACCCTTCCTATAGGTTCCCAGTCAACCCCGCCCCTGCCTGGGTCCTGTGGCCAGGGCTGACGCCTAGTACACGCTGCTCCTTTGCCCCCGTGAGGCTGTCTGGGCCGTTGCCGTTCCTGCTCTCCCTCGTCCTTCTGGCCCATCTCGCACCTCTGTCTGCTCAGACCCTTGCTGGCAGCTGTGCCACCCCACAGCTCCCCCAGGAGCCCCACCGCTCCAGAGCACCGGGAGCTGGGCACAACCTCCGTGCCTGGCCCTGCACTGGGCGGCAGGACACCAGGGTGCATGGCACTCTATCCCGCCTACTAGAAGCCCAGACCAGCCTGCAGAGATGGCCCTTCCATCCACAGACTTTGCCTGCTGTGTCCCAGGTCTGTGCCGGGCACAGAGGACACAGCGGAGAACAAGACAGCATGTCCCTGCTGTGGAGCTGACACGCTAGCTGGGAGGAGGATGCTACCCCAGCAAACATCGAGGAGTCACAAGTGCAAGATGGAACAGGGTCAGCCAGATGTGGTGGGCCAGTGGGAGCTCTGATAAGATCAGGGGTGAGTTATGGCCTGTAGGGGGGAAGCCAGGTGGACAGCTGGGGACAGAGTATGCTAGCAGAGGCCTGGAGGGAACACGCTCCAGGATGAGCCAAGGGGAGCAGGGCTGGAACAGAGTGGGCCTGTGGGAGGCAGGAGGGGCAGCAGCTGTGCCCATTAGACCCACCTGGGGAGCACTTTGGCCATGCCAAGGCCCAACTTCAGCTCAGATTGATGCAGTCGGCCTTTCTGGCAGTGTAGGAGGCACTGGTGGTTCTTTGAGGTCCCTAAGTGACTCTCGGGTATGACTGGCGCTGGGAGCCCCTCACGTGCGGGTTCGTGGGCCATGGTCAGGGCTCTGGATTTCAGTGTGAGATGGGAAGCCACTGGCCTCTGCTCAAAGACTCAGGCACAGTGTCCTCAGCCACACGAGGAGGTGCTGCGACAGGGGCAGAAGCAGGACAGCCCGTATAAGCGGTGGGACGTGGCAGCGCCGGCCTGCCATGCATTGCTGTCACACACATGCTGTCCCATTTCCTAGGGAGGCAGCAGAAGGTCTGGGGTAGCCTAGCCACACAGAGCCTGGCAGACTGTCAGAATTCAAACCCAGGCCCAGCCATGGGGCCGCAGGCAGTAGTGTGCCAGACAACATGGCAGTCCAGATCCCCGGCTGGCCCTCTTGAAACAGGAGGCATGCGCAGGAGTGCCTGAGGCCAGCAAGCTGGAGGACCGCAGGAAGGAGGTTGCGGTGATCAGGCCCTGTGGAGGGCACTATCTTTCTCACGCACATGCACACTCTATCATGAATAAAGAAAAAAAAGTTAATGCTTAATATGCTTTGTAAAAAAGGATTCATTCCCAGGTTAGCCCATCTGAGCAATGCCAAGCTCCCCACTACACCTGCTGCCTCCCAATTGGCAGAGGCTGCTCAGGAGGCCCCACCCCACTCATTTGCATGGAGGATGGGCCTCTGGAGACTGGGGCAACACCCTCCACCCCCACAGGAAAGCATCAGGCACTGGGGGCCTGTCCTGCTCCAGCCGTGGGGGCCTGGTCCTGCTCCTGGCCAGTGTCTGGCTCCAGACAGGTTAGGTAAGGCTGAGGGCAGCTCCAACGAGAAGATTGCAGACTGAGGGCCCCGTCCATACTCACCTCTCCCATCCTCCTCCTTTCTACCTGCTCCCCCTACTCTTGGAGCTCTAGACCTACTCCGTGGATGGCCCTGAGTGTGTCTCTGCTTAAAGCTTGCCAGAGAGAGAAGGAAAGTGAGAAGCACTCCCATGGGACACAGCCACACTGCCATCTCTTCACCCTTTCTGCTTTTGAGATTTGGGGCATGCCTCACTGCCCAGCATGGTTTTCAAGACACCAGTACTGGGACCTGAACTGCACAGTTGGCCATGTGGGATCCAGCCGCCTTAACCACCACCCTGCGGACTGGCTCCCTGAGTGTCTTTAATCTAACCCAGCTCTTTCCTAAGGAAGCAAATTTGCAGCCACTGCTTTATCCAGCCAAACCTCACATTCCTGAGTTGTCCTGACGCTGAGCATCAACTCTTTTGTGTCCACTTTGGTCCCCTTCCTGGGGTCGACACAGGTGTAGGGCAGGGCGCTGTGGTAGCAGCAGTGTGGTCCAGGGGTGCCCCGCCCTCCCGGGTGCCTCAGCACCCCCCGGCCCTCCCTGTCTCCTGAGATCCTTGCTCTGATTCACTCACTAACCATCAGACATTCTGGGCTACTGGCAGGCTCTGTCTCAGGACCCTGGAGACAAGCCTGACCCCTCCCTGTGCCCGGGAACTGTGCATCGCAGCAGCAGTTAGGATGTGGTCTTCGCTTCCTCTCTTGAGGCCTTGGCTCCTTAAGGGAAGGGAAGTTGTCTGTTAGTTCTTTTACTTTTTAAAAAAGATTTATTGATTTAATTCCATTTGTTAATTATTTTTAAATTTTGACCAGAGAAACAGAGAGAGGAAGGGAAAGCAAGAAAGCAAGCTGCCAGGTTCAGGACGCAAACCACAGTCAGCCATGTGGGAGTCCAGGGCCTTAACTGCCATGCCACCTGCCAGCCCCCTGTTCTTCTCAATTTTACCTTTTTTTCTTTTTTAAAGAATTGTTTATTTTGCTTCATTTATTATTATTATTATTATTTAATTTGACCAGAGAAAGACAGAGAGAGAGAAAAGGAAAGTGAAAAAGCAAGCCACCAGGTCCAGGACTCAAACTGTGGTTGGCCATGTGGGAGCCCACGCCCATCACTTTAACCACCACACCACCTGCCGGCCCCTTGTCTTTTTTTTTTTTTTTTTTTTTTGAAACACTATGAACACTTTTAATGTCATCCATGTTTTCCTGGAGGCAGAATTGGCTAGGTCCCGGGTTCCTGGGGAGGAGGAGTCTTATGTACATGGGAACAACAT